ATAAGTGTAAATTATTAAATAGATTTCACAATAACACAGAATACAACAGAATATAAACAATTTATATTAATAAACATTAAACCCTATGGTTTTTTCCTCTTTCTTTCTTCTTACTTTTATAGTATTTGATTTAATTTCTTAACAAACTCTTAAAAATAATTACAACTGTAACTTATCTGTGTAAATTTAATTAAATTAACACAAGTAGCAAATGTTGTCACATTGGTTCAAGTATCAACGCTAAGGTTATTTTACGAGTAAAACTCATCCACTCAACTGCATTATCCTTTTTCACACACTAAACTTGGACTATTTAAAGTGTTAAACTTAAAACATTTACCAACTAAACATTTACAAGTAATTTTAAATGAACTGCAGGACTTTTCCTCTTTTCCAAACAGCTCAATTTTTTAAAGCTCGACTATTCTATGCTTTGGTTTAATATTCTCAAGAAACCACAGGCCATAAAAACTATTTAGCAGCAACATTTAAAGGCAAAGGATACCGAGGACTAACTCATACATATACATATAAACTATATGTATGTATATAAACTAAGTTGTTAATGACAATTACTAACACAAACCACTGCAGATGTGTGTGTAAACACTAGTGTGCGTTTGTGAATTTCACTTAGTTTTATGATGAAGGTTAGTGCGGCTTAAAGCACACAATTAAACATGAAAACTTTTTATAATTTTAATGATGCCACACTTTCCTTTTTCACAAGTGAATTTGAAAGATTTCTTTTGATGAAGTTTAGTTAAGCAAGATTCTCAAAGTACAAAAACAAACCAAATCCTTGTATAGCACTTAAAATGCTTGAAATAGTTTTCTATTTTCAAAGCAACAATAAAAACTTTCCTTTTAAATCTATAAACTGCAAGATTACACTCAAGCAGTTTTTAGTGGATTTTCAGGTCTTGCTGAGGGAAACCATTAAAAATATTTAAAGTAATAAAATGTTAGTATGCCATTTGCAGAGATTTAATATTTTGCAAAAAGGTATATAATTTAAATAAATTTTATATATATTATTTGGAATGACCACTTAAGTTTCTCCAAATACCCATGTGCTATCATTTTAAATAATTTAGTAAAATGTTAAAGATGAGGTTACTTTGGACCTGACTTTATCAGAGTTATTTTTTTTTTGTCTATATGTTGGATATATGTTGGTTTCGGTGCAATTCGGTGGTTTCAATATTCTTTTAACCAATGAAATAACTTAAAAAGTGACAATAATCATCTTCAGTATAATGAAATGTGTAACATTATTCAAAAGTACATAAAGTGTGATGAGTAGATAATTTGATGAAGTTTTGATGGAAAATCATTTTTTCATGATAAAAGACTCACTTTTGACTACAGTCGATTTATATTTCAGTTTATTTTTTTATATTTGTGGTATAAAACGATGTTCCTTTCTAACATATTAAACAATATAAAGGTATGATTGGTAGGATATTATCCAGTAAACATAATATATTACGTTATTAGTGTGTTAGAAGATGAAATCACAAAAAATAAGATTCAGAAACTGAAGACGAACTACCTTTCTTGATAATATCACATTAATCATAAGTTACATATGTTGAATTGCTCCAGTTATTTTTGATTTTATTACTCATTTAGCATTTTCATTACGTAGGATACCCAGCTACTAGTATAATGAAACGTATTCTGTTTCCGCAATGCAGAAACAAATCGTTTATCAGGAAACCCTAGAAATGTTTAGATAAGCTTTGATATGATTATTTTGCCTCAAAAGAAACTTACATTGATGGATACAGTCGATTCTTACAAAGTTATATTCTGTAAACTTTTAATTTTATAATTTATATTAAACTTTTAAACAAAAAATAATATCATCACTGTAGATACATAAAAATTAAATTATTAAATATGGTAATAGATTTCCTCTAAAATAATATGGAATATATATATACCTATAACTATTTCAACTAGAGAGAAAGAGGGTAGAGAAAGAGGGTCAGAGAGAAACAGACAGAGAGAAAAAGAGATAGCTAAAGACACGGTTGCCACTTGAAAATATTTTCCTGTACCAAAATTGGTTTAAAAAGGTACCATTTCTGTAAAAAAAGGTACAAAATTTTTTTGGACCTTTTTGTTTTTTCGTTCTGTGTTTTTCATAGTGTTAAAAATGAACAAAATATAAAATAGTGCAAAGTTGCATTTATAAAAAAAAATAATTGGAAATATCCACAATAAAGTTGGGTCGTCAAAAATGTACCATTTTTTGAACATGAGTACCAAACGAAAAAATAAGTACCAATTTTGGTACTAAAGTACCATAAGTGGCAACCGTGGGCGAGAGTGAAAGATGGAAAGCGAAAAATAACAGATAGAGAGCGAAAAAGACAGAAAGAGACAGACAGGGAGAGAGACAGACAGAGAAAGAAACAAACAGACAGACAGAAAGGGAGAGACAGACAAAGGGAGAGAGACAGACAGAGTAAGAAAGACAGACATAGAAGAAGAGAGACCAATATAGAGAGCGAAAAAGACAGAGAGAAACAGCAAAGAGAGAGAGAGACAGACAGAGAGGGAAACACCAAACTGACACCCTTTGTCAAAATAATACATAAGATATATAAACGTATAAACATACTGCTTCCCTAGTCAATATAAAAATAACATACTGAACAGTTTTAACTACTTTTAACATAATTAAATAATTAAAAACTCAAAGTTTTTAAATTTTCTTGGTTTTTGTCTCACTAAAAGTTAATATGACCTGGGAAAAATAGAGGATTGGTCCAAAATAGATCAATGAAACTATTCTAAAAATTCAAAATTTAAAGAGTTTAGTTTCGCATTCCATTATACCTATATTAAATAAACGTCAGTGAGTTTTATTTAAACATTTAATTTTTTTTTTTTGATTTAATTTAATAAATAAAATTGTTGCATCTATTTAATAGAATATCAACAAAACATAAACCATTTAAATTTAATTACTTATTATTCAATGCAGTTCAAAAGATATATAATATTAGATTTAAATTTTTAGAAATTTTATCATGAGTTAATATTACTAAATATATATATAAGATATTCATTTACAAACTTAAATTAAACCCTAATTTATATATGATATATCAAAGACGCATAAATCATATAAAAATTCAATTCCTCATTATTCATTAGAGTTTAAGATGATATACCTATAATATTGGATTCAATGTTTTACATTTTTAACTATGAACTCATATTACTATTATAAGATATTATATTACAAACTTAAGTTATATATACCTAAATTTATAACTGAAATTATCATATTTTATACATTATGAGTTGGTAATTACCTTGTCAGAGGGCTTAAACTAAACTTCAACATATTGTAACTATGCACATCCCATTTCTCTTCTAATCGCTTAGTAAAACTTTACCTGAAAGCATTTAACATACTCATAAATCATTTTATCTTTATTCTACTTATTCTACTACGTTTTGTATGTATAAATTACTTATAGCCAACTTGGTGTACAAATCTAAGAAGAATAAAGATGCCATGAATTTATGAATGCATAAAGCACTATTAAAAATTTTGCGATGGTTGAGATAGTAATGAAATTTCAAAAACGAAAAAGATAAAAATGCCAGAAATGTGCACAAAGCAATTACAATTTAAGTCCCGAAAAGTAGCATGGATTAGGAGCATAAATCTTGAAGGCGTACGTCGTAATAAAAGACACGAGAAAGCATATTCCCACCTAAATTATGGCAAAACAATTTCCATAAACCACATACCGGTCGGTACACTGGCAATCTACTACCAAAGGAAACGTACCAAAAAAGTGGCAATATGAAAAATAAGTTTTACCGTGCCGAGCTGAACTGAGCTGCGCTGAGCTGAACTGAACTGAGCTGAGCTGAGCTGAGCTGGGCCAGGCGAAACCAAACAAACTCTTATCATACCTCGATCAAATTAAAATAATTGTGCTTAAGCACCTGATATTACGCTACATTGTTTCTTTTTGGCGAATATTTTCTTAACTAAATTTTTTCACCTTTACAATTTTTTGAATTTTAATTTTTACTTTGGTTTACTTTGCAAAACGTGAGTTTTGGCTGAATTATGCTGCTGTTCGCATTCCTAATGGTTGGCACTGGCGCGGGTACTGGTACTGGTGCTGCCTCCTCCTAGTCAAGCTTCGGTTTGTCGGTTCATGCCACTAACCGTGGGCAATCGTTGTTGTGCCTTATCTAGAATTTGTGGCGCAACTTGCACTTTGTCTTCTCTTTTAGTTTTTTCTAACGAATTTACTTAATTAAATTTTTATATTTATTTGTTAAATAAAAAAAAAATTTTTTTTAACAATTGTTTGCCCAAAAAACTATGCCGTTAATGAAATATTTGTAAAAGAATTTAAAATGAGAAAAAATGAAGGTTAAAAAATAATTTTGCACTTTATTTAATACAAATGTAAATATTTTTATTATTTTTTCATGCTTTTCCTCTAAAGTTCCTATAAGTTAATACTGCAGAAATGCTGCTAAGCTTAGCTCCGCTGCTTTTGTAATCCTCCAAAAAGTACTTCCAATTCGATAAACTGCAGCCGTAATGACGGTTTATGTTCTTCGAGTATCTCAGGGCTTAACGTTCTGACAACTGTGACAATGACGACAAAACCAACAAAAGCAACAACAACAACAACAACAAATCGTTTAAATACTGTTGCTTACCTAACATTTGTTAAAACAATTTTCAGCAATTTATTTTTACAACAGCAACACAAACGCCCACTTCGCTAACAAACAACCACGCCTTGCATTTCCAAACATTTTTCCCTATCATTATTTTGAATTTTTCTTTGTTTTCGATTACAATGCGCATCCTTCTTATTAGGTTTTACTATTTTGTAAAATTTTTCAAATTTGTATACATTCAACAAAATGCCAAGAAACCAAATAAATAAAATAAAATATAAATAAAATTCTCTTATTTTTATTTTTATTTTTATATCCTGCAGAGTACAGAATCTTGATTCGATTGTACGTGTCGCGGACCGTGATCTGCCGGTTGTGAACACAAGAGGAGATGTCCTTTTCAACTCATGGAAGGGCATTTTTAATGGCCAAGGAGGCTTCTTCTCACAAGCGCCGCGTATTTACAGCTTCAGCGGTAAAAATGTCTTAACGGATCCACTGTGGTAAGTTCTTTTTAATAATTGTACTCGTACTTAATTTTTTTTTTACAATACCTTTCTCTACTCTAAGTATATACAATACATAATTCGTTGCTGTCGGATATACAAGCGATATTCGTAAATATTTTTAAACAAAACAGTTTAGTACAGAATGAGAATGAGAGAAAAGATACGCATACAATAAGCAATATTAAATATAATTTCGGCTATTAAATTTATACGACATTCATTTATGATATTAATGTCGACAGCTTTAATGACAGAATAGACGTGCTTACGTATTATGTCCTTGGTATTTATTATTCCAGTGTAATTGTATATTTTAATGACTTTTATTACAATAAGTTTTCAATTAGTGAAATAATACAGTTTATTTGAATGCTCTTTTATGGATGTTAATGGTTTTTATGAAGGCCCAGCAGATTTCATTGAGTTGTGCGTTAAGTCTTTAATTTTTAAATCAAATGTTTTTATTTTTTAAACCGTAAAATATGACAAAAACAATTTTTTTATATATAATTATATCTTTTTTTTGCTAACTATACAATTGTAACGAGTATAACCAAATATTAATCATTAGTGATCTTTCTAAATATTCGTTATACATACCTTAATAATTTTTATGACACATAAATTATATATAATGTATATAAATATAGTACTTATTTATATATTATAAATTTATATGCATAAATAAAGAATCTGTATCAAGACTTAGTATACTTACGTAGGTAAACTGTAGATTCTGTGAAGAGATTGAGGAGTCGGCCACACATGTGCTGTTAGAATGCCCTGCGCTATTGCACATACGGAATAGGCTCCTGGGAATGTATATTCTTACGGAAAAGGCAATAAAAGTCTGTAAAGTAGATTCTACCATACTTTTAATTGACGCAACATGGCTTAGAGACCTACTCTAAACCTAAAGAGTCTGTAAATAATTTTTATACTACAAGTGCGGTATAGTTTCATAACTGTCCCTAAAGTGATATTTAATTTAATTCTTTCATTTTGTATATGACAGTATATAATTTCGAAAACTTTATATCGAGTTTTATGTGTACTATATATATTAATATAATAATATTTCACAAATTAAAAGAAATGAACTGTAATTGTTATGGTTCAACAAATAAATAAATCTGAAACATCGTATCGTTCAAACAGCTTATCAACCATATTAGCTAATTATATATAACTTGGAAAAATAAATTCAAATATACTTGAAACGAAGTACGGTTCAAGCAGTCTAGGTATAAAGCATTTTTGCTAAGTTATATATAAAAATAATTTCAAATTAAACTTAAAATTTGTATCCTCCATTCAGCCTAGCAATCTTCTTTGCTATATTATCTATAAAAATAGTTCCAAATAAACTGGAAACATCATATCGTCCAACCAACTTATCAAATATATTTGCTAAATTACCTAAAAAATAACTCCAAATTTACTAATTTATTTCAGAAGTTTAAGTTTTATGATTTGCTCTATAAGCCTATCTGCATTTATTTATTTAAATAGTTTATGCCCAAAGTACGATTAAACTACGTTCTCTCGCTATAGTAGTTGACGACTTTTAGTTTAGTTTAATTGTGTGATACACAGTAGCTAGTGATTATAGCTTAATCGTCCGCAGTACGTTTAGTATAATCTGCTTAACAGGATACTATACATTTCTAAGTACTGTGATCAGCATATTTACTTACTTACTGAATTGGCTATAACTCCCAGTCACTTTCGACCTGATGTAACACTGCTCTTCAGTCCTGCACATCAAATGCGGTTAATGCGGCTCCCTCAACGTGGTCTATTCATCGAAGACACGGTCAACCACATTCTCCAAGTATCCCTTCAAACACCTTTTTCAGTGAAGAAATGTCATTCAATCTAACAATATGACCAAAACAATGAAACTACAGCATATTAATGCGCTTAATTATGTCGATATGTGGTTGAAAGCTTTAACCACAGCTCGTAATCCCTTCGGATGCTGTGGTCATCTCAAATTCATACAGGAACAAAAATTTTACGAAGCACGTAGCCAGCTACTGTAATTTAATCGTTATCTATTGAGCAACGATAGAATTGTAAAATTTTAAAATTTTAAAAGACATTTAAATAAATAAATAAATTTTAGTCTAATCTTGCTACTCTAGAAAAATATCTAGAGTGTTATAAATTAATCTCGAGTGTTAAACATTTTGCTCCAAATTTACCAATCGAAAATGAAAATTGCGCTAAAAGTGCATTAAGGCCGAGTAAATTGATGGTAAAATGAGGGAAATAGTAAATTATGTCGGTATGGCAGCGAATATTGGTATTTATCAGAATTTCGAGTAGGGTAAATTAGATAAAATTTTATAAGATGTTTAAAAAATAAATAAATAAATTTTGAAAACATTTAACCGAAAATAATAAATAAGTGCAATAAATAAATAAATAAATAAATATTTATTTAAATGTAGTGCAAAAAATCCCTAGTTAATTTCAATTTACTTAACCACAATTTACCTATTTACTTGAACTCGCAAACGGTCCAAACAAGCATTTCGTTTGAAAAAATTACCCCAGTTTTACGAATCGAAAATGCCATTATATGATTTAACAGATTTACTAGGATTTGATTCGATGTGTGTATTTGTGAAAAATGTAAATGTTTGCTATTTACTAATTACTATTATTTACACTTAAAATGTTCGATTGTACAACAAAATATGACAGATCCAGAGTAAATCTATAATGAATTCAGATTGGTTCCAGATTTTCCAATCGAAAACCCCATAACTTATAGGTGATTAAACTAAGCGAGAAATATTTAACAAAATATATGTTTGCATATCATCATATTTATCATCATATTTTTCCTTATATCAAATAAATTCCTTAGATTATTTTATTATAAAAGGGGAACCCATTTTATGTGATTTTGATGGAATTGATTTTCATGCCATTCATAATTGGAACATGGAGTGGTAATTACTCTTCATGTTATTCCCTAACATCTGTAACAAAATAATTATTTGTGTGTATTTTTTTTTAATAATTTTTATTTTATACTTTTTCTGTATTTATAGTCCTTTGCACTCTAATGCCTTTGAGTTCATTCATTTGCATATAATTTTTTTTTTTTTTAATTTTTTTAAAATGTTTATATTATGAATTAAATAAACATAAATGCTTTTTAATGCATCTAATCCCATTAACTGCTTAAATAACTTCAAATCAAGCAGAAATTTAAAAATTATTCTTGAATTCAATTAAATTTAATTTATGATATTTCTGAAATGAAATATTTTAATGCCTACAAAATGTTGTTTCTGTATTGAATTTTACACCATTTTAAGCGCGCAAATCGAATATAGTATCTATCTATAGTATCTTTATATGTGTAACTGTGTAGTATCTATGAAATTCGTAATTGATTGTATAAAAACTCGTTTATATCAATTTTACACGCATTTTATACGCATTTTATACGCATGCCTTCATCATTTATATACCGCCTTTGAGTTCGAAATGATTGAACGCGATAAAGTAAATACCACAAAAACTTAATTTTAAAAATATTGTATAACAGCATTTCAATCATTTTAAATGAGCTCCACTGCTTCCTTTTTATTGGAGATTTACTCGTACTCATACTCGTACTCGTACCCGTACTCTCTCTGCGCATTTATTCATTCAATTATGAATTTAAATCCAATAACTTTCCTTACCTGACCCCAATCGATGTTGTGCAGGATGTGTGCATATTTAAATTAAATTCTTTAATTGTTTGTTGTAAATTTAAAATTTAATTTATTTTATTTCACACACTCGACACTGGCAGCAATTTGTATCAAATTTAAAGCTCATGTTCACATGCTCAAATGCCCAGTACATCCTGCCCAGTACGGATGTACTCTGGAAGGCACACTGTTAAACCCAACATTTGTAGATTTATATTTCAATTATATTTTGAATTAGAGATAAACAATTTGTACACAATCAATTTGAAGTTGAAATTTCCAAATGTCACTTACACTTCAGAACAATTTAAAGTCTATTTACATGAGTAAACCTCTTGGGTATTATTTCATACTGTAATATACAGTACATATACGTATTATTTCCACATACTTCAAGTTTACGTAAATATTTATAAAATATTTATTTATATACATATAGATATATATTGATATATGAAAGAATTATAAACTGCACTTTTAAAATAAAGTTTTATGTATTTAATCTTTATGCATTTTAAAATCATTTTTGTCATTTATAAGATTTTATATGTTATTTTTTTGCATAAATTTAAATTTTTATACCATTTACACTATAAAGTATTAGGTATACATACATATATACTTTCCTGAATATATTTGTGCTGCAGTAATGGAGAAAAGAAAGGCCACATACCACATAAATCTAATCGGTACAATGAACCAAATAGATTAAAAGATATATTTTATATGATATGTTTATATGTCCTTCCGTACATTTGTCTATTTATTGGACAACAATAGTATCTTTTAGTTAAAAAATATACTAATAAAAATCAATTAATTAGTTTTTTAATAATAATGAAACAATTGATGGGTTCTTATTTTGCAAATGATTTTCTTATTGTTGTAGGAATCTTTTTTTTAAGGAGGGAAGATAAGGAAGATACAACTCTTACTCTGGTTTTTTTTTTTATTTTGAATTGAAGTCATACGTAAAAACAATATACATAAATTATAATTTTAATATAATAATAATAATAATAATAATAATAATAATAATAATAATAAGCCTTGCTCGGCGTCAATGAATTCGAGCAGCCTCTTACGCTGTGCATAAGCTATCCATAAGTCGCTTCCGCAACGCTACATCTTTTATATTAGTAATGTTGTTTATTCTTCTTCCTAGGGGCTTTAAAACGGTATTTATTTCATGTAACGTTGACCTTCTCCATATTGTTTTTGGACGACCTCTTCCTTTGCTACCTTGCGGGTCGTATTCCAACGCCTGTTGAGAAAGCCTTTCGAAGTGTATGCCCGATTCAACCAAATTTTCTTTTGCGAATAGTATTGGTTCCCTTTTGTGTAAAGCATTTTTTTATTGTCGTTGGGATATTTTTTTGAAAAAACTGTATATATCTTACACAGTTTTTTTTTTTCAAACTAAAGTTGAGGTACTTGCAATATGTAATAACAAAAAAAACAATTACGAATTGTTTTTCAAAATTT